CGAGGAGCCAGGTCAGGTCCGAACAGATTGGCGACGGTTCCCGGGGCTCCGGGCTCTGATTGACATTTCCACGGGCCCGCAAGCCCCTCCTCCCGCGCGGCTCCCTCCTCTCGGCGCCGGAGCCGCCTCTGCCCGCGCCCGGCTCCGCGCTGCCCTCTTCCCCGGCAGTGTCGCGCCTCGCTTCCTTCGCCCTCCTCTAGCTCTCACTCCCCCTCCTCGCCCTTCCTCTCCCCTCCCCTCTCGGCGTCCCTCTTCCCCCAGGATCGCTTCCGCTCCTTCGGGTTCTCTACCCCATCTGGGCGCCGGGACGCTCTCTTTCTCTTTCTCACGATTCCGTCTCCGCTGTCCGTTCCCCTCTCCCTCTCTCCCCCTTTCCCTCTCTCCCTCTCTCCCTCTCTCCCTCTCTCTCTCTGCCTCTCTCTCCCTCTCTCTCTCCCTCTCTCTCTCTCTCCCTCTCTCTCTCACATCTGTCTCGCTCTCTCGACTCACACAGCACTGTCCCCACCCCACCCCGGCCTCTGCGCCCTGGGCTAAGGCGGCCTAAAGTTGTGGATACTTAGGGTGCTGCGCGAGGTGGGGGGGGAGAGGTGTTCGTCTCCGCCCGGGTGTCCGTCTCCGCCCTCGCTCCCTCCCTCGCCCTTCCCCAAATCTCGGGTCTGACGTCGCGCCCTCTTATTCGACTTTTCCTAGCGTCTCCTTCCCAAGTCGCCAATCGCCTGGGAGCCTCACCGGCGAGGCCTCCCACCCCCGCGGATCCCGCGCGCAGGGCAGGGCGGGGCGGGGGCGGGACCCCGGCTCTCCAGTCCCTTCCCGCCCCCTCCGGCCTAGGAGGAGAGGCGGCGGGGAGAGGCACCGGGACGGGGGTTAGAACCGGGTCAGCTCGCTCCTCCCGCTCCCCGCCCCTCGGAACCTCTCCCTCCGCCCCAGCGCGGAGCCTGGGTCGGCACCAGACGTGGGTGCGGGGCCAGCCCCGGGGCCTAGGTGGGCCTGGGCCCCCTTTTCAGCTCGCACCTCTGACGCCAGGCCACTCTCGGCGGCGTAGGGAGGGGGCTAGAAAAGGGTGGGAGGGTGCAGTGTAGCCTCGCCTTCAGAGGCCGCCTCACTGCCCACGGGGGCGCGGCTGCCCCCACCCAAGAAGACCAAATCCTGAGATTAGCCACCTTAATGCAGCCCCAGCGTCCGGCCGGGCTCGCCTGGGGGGCTGCAGGGTGGACGCCCTGGGGGTCCTGGGGCGCGACTACAGGAGAGGGGACCCTGCCAGCGCCCTAAACCGGCGTGGGAGGGGGGAGGAGCCCGGCTCCGGGAACTTCCCCAGAGCTCTTCAAGAAGTTGTCTCTCGGAATTCTCTGTCGGCGGAGACCCCCTTTTCCCTCCTCCCCCCTGCCCCCGGGCCTCAGCGCCAACCTGTTTTCTTTCTGCGAGGATTCTCCCACCGTCTCGGGTGGGGATGGGAGGCAAGACTTTGAGTTTTTGTGGTAGGATACACCCTAAATCAAACCTGAAATCCTAGTATCTGGGCGCCCACCCTCACGCATTCGGGCGTGCCGCCCGGGCGCCACTGACATCCCCCGAGGTGCCGCGGCTCCGGGCTGAACGCTTTAGGCCTCGGTGGCCGGACGGACGCAGGAGCCAGGCCTGCGCGGCGACCGTGCCGCGGAGGTTTCAGCGCCCGCTCGGCTCCGAGGCGGAAACTGGCCGCCGCGCGCTGGTCGGTGGAGGAATCGAGTCCGAATTCCAGCAGAGGGGAGGGATCGGAGGGTCTGGGCTCCGGCTGTCTCTGGTCTCAACAGCCCCAGGGAGCCCAGTTAGGGAGTGAACTCCCGTGGGCATCCGGTTTTCATCCCACCCCCACTCCCGTCTTCTTTCCACCACTCTCTGCACAGGTTGGCCACTCCAGTAGGTGGGAACGTCTAGGAAACTATGGGGGGGGGGAGGCAAGGGCAAGTTTGGGGGCAATCAGGTGTAGGGTTCGCCTGGGGAAACTGACCTGTGGCCTCCTCCGCTTGGGTCAAGCCGCTTCCCTGAGCCCCGCCCCTTTGACTCTGCCTGAAGCCAGGCACGGCCTCAGCCGGAGCCTCCCCAGAGAAGGAGATTATCAGGGGGCGCTCTGGCGTTGAGCTGTTTTCCCGGCGCCTGATTTCGTTTGGAGTTAAAACTCTCAGAGAAGGGACATAGGGAATCACGAGCTCACCCTCCTGGGGAAAAATCTCGGGGTTCACAATTGAGGGCAACATTCGCATCGTTTCCCCGGAGTGTTTCCCAGGCGTTAGACTCGAGCCCCAACAGCCCTGAAATCCTAGAGTCTGCAGCAGACCAGGGCAGTGCCAAGAGCGAGATTAGGAGGTAGGGAGATTGGAGCTGCGCTTCAAGTGCCCGAGATTTAACTCAGCTCTTCCAGGAGGAAGAACACCGTGAGCCCCGGAGGTGCTTCTAAGCATTTGTCAGCCTTCCACCTGGCTGCGCTGGACTGCAGGACGCCAGGGACGGGGTGAGGCTGTTCTCAGGGAACCAGCCACGCAGAGCCCGGGGCCATGGCCCAGGGGATGAACCTCCAGACCCAGACCCAGCCGGGGACCCAGGAACTTCGATTAATTAGACCTCTCCAGGCGCCCCAGGTCCCAAACGGAAGCCGTCTTTCCACCACCCTAGTCTTCAGCTAGGATTAGCCCTGCTCTAGCCGGGGTGACGTCGGGTCTCAGCGTCCTAGGCAGCCCAGCCCCGACGTGGCGCTGGCTCCCCAACTCACTGGTCCTGTGGAGCCTGGCTCCAGACTAAATTTGCGAGGCCGAGGACAACCGAACCTTTTCCAGGGATTTTTAATCCAAGGGATGGGGTCAGAGTGACACA